TCTCTCTCTCTCTCTCTCTCTCTCTCTCTCTCTCTCTCTCTCTCTCTCTCTCTCTCTCTCTCTCTCTCTCTCTCTCGCGCGCGCGCGCGCACGCGGTCTCTCTCTTCTGTTGTCTATGTTGTTGTGTTGTGTACGTTGATTTCCCTTTGGAACTTTTGAGTCCATATGTTCTTTGCATCCATGGCGATGGAATTGTCTTTGCGACTTCTTTGCAACATCTTTTTCTCACAAGCTTTCTGGGATGTGGTGTGCAATTGCTGCAACAGTTCTTTCCTGAATATCCGGACACAAACGCAGAGTGGATTAGTAGTGTGACATCGCTTTCTGGAGCTCTTAATGGGACGACACGTGTTTACCTCGACGGCATCAGGTGTGTGAAGTGATGTCTCTCTACCTTGCTCGCTTTTTCTTGCTCTTGCTCTGTTTGACGACTTTGACTTGACCGTAGTCGTATCGTCCAGAAGTCATGGGGGGTGTAAATAAACGTGTTAACTTTATTTCGTATACAAACACTGGGCGTAATTCTAAGGGCATCGTCACTCTAGGAATTTCCTAGATGTATCTGACTGCAAATAGGGCTGACACTGGATGCACCTGACCGCAATTACGTCCAGAGCTATAGTCGAAAAACTCCTAGTGCAAGTATGGCCTAAAGAGTGACGACCATGTTCGACGATTGGCTCAATCACCGAGCATGATGCTGAAGCCCATGCGAAAGTGACTTGGAAATGGGGAATGCAGGTTGAGTCTGCTTGTCATTTGATTCCTGACATCATTGATTGATTGATTGATTGATTGATTGATTGATTGATTGTTCTCGCATTGCGTATGATGATTGATTCGATTTATGGTTTCAATCGGTTTGTCATTTCATTCACGACAGTCTTAGTCTTGTATTGTGCATCAGCATGATGTTGGAATGATTAATAATATTTAATATGGCATATGCCACATACATAATCTACCTCCTCCTGACTCCTGAGTGTTGCCTGCTCCATCTGATCTCATTTGAAAATGAGATTGGATGCATTGCTGCTCTTTGCTTGCCGTCTTTTTTTTTTGCACCAACAGCTTTTTTAGAGGACTACCGTCTTCACCCGAATAGAACGCCCGGTAATTATGGCCGCACCTGAGCTGAAAGTTGTGCCAAAAACACAGCTATAATGACCGGGCATTAAATTGGGGTGAAGACGGTAGTGGTGTCGAGTTCCTTACATGGTTAGCTTGGCGCCTTGGGCATGTTTGTTCGCATGTGTCCCCTGGGGGGTTGGGCTTCAACCAGTGTGCAATTTTTCTTATGATTTTTTTTTTTTCCCCTTTCAATTTTTGCATCGATAGCCTAGGTTCGGTATAGGCATAGGATTCAAGCAATGTCCAATTGATTTTATTTGTTTTTTTTCCAATTTTTGCTGTTTGCTGTAGGCACTGTGCGTGCGTGCCTACACATAATTTCCGACACAGATTACAGAGAATTTGTAGGCACGCAAACACGCACGGTGTCTATGCAGATTGCTCGCACACACGCACGCACAGTGCACACACGGACCGACAGTGCAAGATTGCTCCCCTCTGTGGTCGGGGAGGGAGCCAACCTGCCACCTGGCCGATCATTTTCGGTTCATGATGTGTGCAGAACTGTGTGCATGGCACACACTCTCACGCTCAAACCGTGTGATGTCAACTTTCGGTCGCTGGAAAAAGAGAGTGCGGATGTGGTGTTGTTGCATGGCGAGGGCAAGAGCAGTCGACTTTGTCTGTATGATTTTTTTTGGTTTTTTTTTTTGGCTCGCCGCGCCATGGAGTGTGAGATGGTGTGGCTCTAAGACCCTCAAGGCCACCTTGTGCACCGGATCCAGACCATGATCTTCGCAAAAGGATCATGGCGCGGTCGTATAGCCGTCAAATTACGTCTGAGTGGGTAGGAGTGTGCGGCGATTGTGTCTGTAAGAATTTCTTTTTCAATCAGTAGGAGAAACTATGGAGTCCCACAGTACAGACTGGATGGTCATCGGTGAGGTGGTGGACGCAGAGGTCTGAAAAGATAGGTTGATGATTGCATTTCCAATGGGCTTGGAAGAACTTTGAGCAGGGTTTATGTGCAGGTGCAGGGTGCCAGAAATGGTCTTTTGCGTAGCTCGGGGTTTTGGCTGTTTGGTCTACAGAGTCTGCACACATGATAAGCACAAACTCATCATCTTCTCTTTCCCTGTGTTTTATGCTTAATAAGCATTGGGAGAAGAGGAGAGAAGAGAAGAGAAGAGAAGAGAAGAGAAGAGAGGAGAGGAGAGGAGAAGAGAAGAGGAGAAGAGAAGAGAAGAGGAGGAGAGAAAAGGAGAGAAGAGAGGACGAGAGAAGAGAAGTACGACCAACTTTCATGAAGTTTGTTTGCTAGAGATGTTATTCTCTAGCAATCTTTCAGTGCTGTTGATGCAGTCGACTTAACATTTCAGAGTGCTGAGGGGTTGTGTCTATCGCTTACAATCGTAGAGACACGCAGGAGGTCTTCAAGTGGGGGACATTACGTCAGCACAGACAGGGGCGTTTGACATACATGTCTGGTCCTTCAGGTTTGGTATATTTTGGAGTGCTTGTCCTGGGTGCCGAATGTGTTGGATGATGCCTGTGAATGATGCACTCCTTTAGTATGTCTGCCTTCACTCCCCACTCCCCTCC